CTATCCCACCCCTCCTCCACCCGCACAAGAAGGGAAAAGAAACAATTGCCAAGACCTAGCACTTATGACTAGAAGTGTGGAAAGAAGGAAACTTTTGGAGGTAAAAAAAATCATGTGAAAAGAAAGAAATTTACTGGTTTGCGGTGGAATGAGTTAATCACACGGCAACAACCTTGTTTCAACCCCCCACCCCCTCCCCCCGCTCCCATAGATATGACTAGATATAACATTTTGGCAATCCTAAGTTCTACCCTCCTCGATTTCATGAAAGGACTGAAATTCTACTGAAAATTACCCAAAGTTACCTTGCTGCAATACTCCTTTCAAGCCATCGGTGCCTATTGGAGCAATGAAGGAAATCGCATGCGAATGCCTCCAACGTTGAGGAGTTGAGGAATTCCCGTTAAGTTCCGTTAATTTCCGTTATGTTCCCCGAGTATAAAAACGTCCTTTTCACGGGTGGGGGGTTCGTGAAAGGAGAGCATTAGAGTTACCAATTGTGGAAAAGATATCCACTTAAAACCAAATTCAGGTAGAATTAAAATGTCCACTTTTAAAATTTTAACCAATCGACCACCTTCGAGCAGATATTGGTGGCCTTACCAATCACCCAATCAAATCCTTTTAGAGCCCAATGACGAGTATTCGCACAAAAAGCTCATTAAACTTCTGTGATTACAACCAGCAACTCAACGTCATTGCGGTTTTCATGATCCCAAATTAGGCAAATTGCCTCTTCATATACATATCAAATGCTTCGAATTAGTAAAATTTACTTAGAGGTCAGACAAAATGTCAGGAAAATGGTAAAAAGTACAGAACATCAGAAAATTCGAGTCATTGATCATTGATTCACCAGAACCGTGAATCAATAAAGTTACTTATAGCTTGTTGGACGAATATTTCAAGACACACTTCTAAATTGTCTTATGGCAGAAGAAGATAGAATCTGGTTAGAGCATTTGAAGAACTCTATTCAAACGGAAGCTTCTTCTTATGACATCGCGTCAGTGTGTAACATCAATCAAACTGCTCACTTTGAAGTGAAAGTTATTTAACTCAATACATCTAGAATAGACATGACAAATGCCTTTCGATAATTTAGGTAATCCATCCCAATCTACCTGGAGTCCTCTATCTTGAACGGCGGCTACACTGAGTTGACGGTTTTCAGTGGCGTAGTAACCGTTTACATCCTCGACTTCCAAACGGAACGGTGACCCAGGAACATGTTCATCATTAAATCGAATGGAGCACAAATATTCACCCGGTTCAGAGACGCGGAAGGAAACGAGACACGAACCATCTTTTCGATCCTGCAAAAAAAGAGCAATCAGAAAATCAATAGAAGAAATCATTAAATCGATTTAACATTCTACGCATTTTAACTATGTCAAAATTAATGCAATTAAAAATGAGAATTGTGTATTTATTTTTTAAGGCATTTTTCTGAAACCTGAATTTAACTCTTAAAAAAAATATGAGCAACATTTTACTTCCATTCCTGCCCATCACGACAACTGAATATATTTTAAAATGTGTCCCCTATTTGCAGTTATTATCCGTTATTTATGAGAAAGGGAAAATGTGCCCGCGCGCGATTATCAAGGGACTTGAAAAGAAAAGTAAGAAAGATGAATGCCAACAGCCTCGCAAAAATTGACAGGTAATTTGACATCGATTTTCTAATGCATTCTGTGAAAAAAATTTAAATGATGGGCTAAATAATGTGAAATTCTTACTTTTATTCTAGTACGACAAAGACCTTATCAATAGCAATCTAAATTGTTTTAATTGACTAAAATTAAGCCACTTCGCTTGAAATTTTAAGTTGATACTATCATCTTTGGAGAGAGTAAAATTCAAGCGTTTAGAAGTTGGAAATAAATTGGCATTTTGTGACTATTTAAGCAGACTTGTCATAAATAGTTACTTCGCCAGTTCCTTTTGGGATTTTATGGTAATGAAATCGCAGTTCTTATGAATTTGTTTAAATATAAAAGTGGAGTCAAAATGCCGACATAATGAATAAGTGTCATGATAAATTGAAAAATAAAGAATGATTAAATTATTCATAATTTTTTCCTCATTTTGATGTTCGTCTTGAAGAATTGGCTTCAAAATGTTCAACTAGCGCATACATTACTCATTTGCAAACTCGGAGTATCAATCGGAATTCGATTATGCAGATGTAATTTGAGCATTAGACTAATAAACGCTCTTATAAGTAGTATATACCTCGAAGTCAATTTCGGCCTTGCTTGGGCCTTCTATTGCAATCGAGAGGTTGCCAGCCCCAGCTTCACGCGTGTAGATGTTGAATTCATTGTTGCTATTGATGTAACCACGTTGGATTCCTTGACCGATGACTCGAACTTTATTCGCTCCTCCATCTGTGATTGGTCCGACAGTGAACTGGAAGGGGCTTCCTAGAGTTCGGCAAACACAGTAAATTTAGTATTCCCGTAGAAAAAAAGAATTTTTTGATCAAACATGTCACATCGAAACATGCAGACACGTTTAGATGGCAATTGGCATCAGTAAAAAAGGGGAAAAAACCCATATGAATCAGTATGAAGCGTCCTGTGATTTCATTGGTTAGTGGAAAAGGCACATTAAGCTAATAGAGAGGGCCAAGCCACCACAAAATGAGCGAGCGAAATAGCGCGAAAACATGCGAGATGGACATGATCTCTTACCGGGTACATGAGCGTTGCGGTGACGTACAGACACCGTGTGCACGCCCATCTCTTGGGGCACGAATCGAGTGCAGTAATTATTTGGATCAACTTCCGTAATCATGCAGCGTTCAGTCCGACCAGAAGGACTTGTCACTACTGCCGTCAGGTCTAACACGTTTACTCCTGCAAAATGCGCCAATCAACAAGATTCAAAATCACAGCCATGACGATCATAAGCAATAAGTAGCATAGTCAGCCAAGCTCCTTATTAGCATACATACATACAACTCGAAATGGGTTTAGTTTTGACTCAAACTATTTTTTTTGAATTTAGGGTCATTTAAGTAGTATAAGACTACTTTTTGGAATTGTAACATTTAGAGGTCAATAATTAATCGCCTTGATGTTGTTTTCTCTTAATTCGTTTAACTGCAATCGATTAACCAATAGAATACCTGGAATTTTGAGATTGAGCTCGCATTGGCTACCAACGTGAGTGGCCTCAGCGACCTCCCTTTGACGTGTGATACGTTCCATAACACGAGCAGATGAGGGATGCCCGCCGATGTTGACAGCAAATGGACTACCAGGAACCGGTTCATCTGCATATTTAATATTGATTATGTATGTACCCGGTTCCGTCGGGAGGTAGGTGACCAAACATGTGCCATCCTGGTTATCATGACACTCAATGTCAGCCTTGCTAGGACCCTCAACTGAGAGGCTAAGACCTCCAAATCCTGTCAAGAGAAAATTAAAATGGGTTTAAAATGTTTTGGAAATGCTTCGACAATTGAGGCAATCATAAAAGAAGCTGATGAAATGGAAAGAACGACCATCATAGTAAAACAGCTAGTCAATAAGCATTGAGTATCGCGGGAAAGAATGATAGGAAAAGAAATTCGTATTTTGAAATATCCACTGAGTGAACACTGCGCAACCAAAATCCCGACAGTAATTGACAGTATCCATTCACCCTAGGCTAACATTCCATAATCTGTACTGACTTATTGATTCGAATTATTGATTCAACCCACTTATCAAACTCCACCTCCTTCATTTGGCCCAGTGGGTGATTGAGCCTACGGCCATTTAATAAATTTCTTCTCTCTAAACTTCACTGATGTTATCCCTGTCTATTTTGAAAAGCTATCTGGACTATTTTTGCACGATTCTGCACTAGAATTTCCTACAATAACCACGATGTAAAAAGAATTTTACTATTTGCATATATATAACTTTCTAATAGATTCTTCATGCTGTATCAAAATGAAAGTTACTGATCTGCCTTCAATTGTCTCTTCCATAACTATGCGAAAAAGGTTCGTGATGAGTCAGACTTAGCCGCTGAAAATTCAGAGAAGGCACAGCCTTCACAATACCAAAGTCAGAGAAATTGAGTTTTTTCAAGATGAATAAAATATCTCCCTTTCGCCCAAATAATTTCGCTGACAACTATTTTAATCGTAACAGTAATTGAAATGTATCATTCACTGATCAAGATGAGATATTTTTATGAGGCATTTCTGTTTGAAAACTGGGACAGATTAAAATACCACTTCTTGGGAAAAATAATTTTCATTTCAAAATATTTTTACAAAAAAAAATTCATTCTTATTTTATTTTGCTAATTATAAAAGAATACGGAACATCGGAAGCTGACTCTCATTTGATAGGTGGATTAGTTGATAATCAACTAGCCAATGAAAGAAGAGCCTACCAGCGTCGCGTGTATCGACGGTGAATTGGCAGTTTTGATTGGCTAGACCCTCACGAAGACCCCGGCCATAGACACGAACGCGTCCGGCGTTTCCAAGTTCGGACTCCCCAACGTAGATCTTGAATGGACTGTTTGGAATTGGACGACCGTTTCGGAAGACATTCACCAAGTGGTCACCAATTTCGCGAGGTGTGAATGAGATTCCTTTAAAGTAAATAAAGCAAATTATTTAATTGAGCCCTGTAGTGAGCTTATGTACGCTAATATCATGCTTAAATATATTAGATGGCAAATAAAAAATCTTGCCAGCTCTAACCACTGTAACTTTCTATGACTAACAAATTAGACTAGACCCCACCATTCAGTCTTGTAAACCTGATTAATTTAAACTGTTCCTCACCAGAACTAGAATTAATTTATAGAATCCAGGGGTGGGAGGGGGTGGGGACTGAGGTGGGGATTTGGTGGGGGTGGGGTGGGGTCTATTTACTCATTTGAATTTGACCCTTTAAAATTGGGAGAAAAAAATCGATTCGATGGTGTGATTTTGTTAATAATTTTAAAAATCATCGCAAAAATACTTTAATTTGCACTTTTATTTATAAAAGAGTTCAATAATCAAATATCCATCAAGCACAAGATCACATTAATCCAAATTTCTTCCAAAGCTCAAGACACAGATCACCTGGCGAGTAGAGAAACGGCAGAAGATTTCTAATCATGTTCTTAATTTCAAGAACTTTGCATGTCATGTTTTAGTGACAACGATTTAAACTATAGGAACCTCAAAAAAAGGAGAACAACCTCTCAGTCGCTTGAACATCCTCAGATCAGTTGGGTGGTGGTATATTTCGAAAAAAAAGTCCGAGGAAATAATACTTTTTCCCCTTTTTTTCGACGTGTCAAAAATCGTGGAGTTGGTGGAGAAAGAGGAAAGAAGGCAGATTAATATTCAGCAAAATGACTGACTGTGTGTCAGTTGACCTCTGTTAGACCAGTGATTGTGATGCTATCGCGGTTTTTCGTTTATTGAGTCTACAACCAAGACTACAACCACCTTTCACTCTCTGCATATTTCCATTTCTATTCAGAGAAAATACTCCATTCGCGTATATTCTCCTAATAACACGTTTAATATACTAATTTTGAACGTTGCATTTCGAGGCATAAATTACTTAAAACACCTGTCGAATGTATGTTGAAAGAAATTGTCTAACACCCCCTTTTTGGAAAGAGGGCTTGTAGTTTAGAGCTTTCAACTCGATGTATTCAAGAGGTCAGTCCTCACACTGGATACGCACCAGCGAATTTCGGAAATGGGAGTACACTTACCGCCGTTCACTATTAGACAAGCGGGGTGTGCGATAAACTTGCCTCCACGTGGTGTACTCTGGGTAACGTATACTCATACGGCAAAAAGTCTATTATCCGGCATTTGACTTCTGACTTCAAACTACCACGACCCCCCTGGTTGTCATATTCGACCCCTGCCACAGTACTCACCTTACCTTTTTCTCTACCTTTGTGTCTGTCTCCCTCTTTACATCTGTGAATCGTTCTTCTGTTCCCCACACCTCGACTTTCTTCTACTTTGATGAACCTTCCGTCTGTGAAGCCCGAAGTCAGCTAAATGGATAATGATATCTATCAAAACGCCTGCCATTTGAAATAAATAAACTATTAGACAAGCGTAAAGATAGTCAGGTAACCTGGCAGCTAATATGCTCCACTTTTACGTTATATCACAGCATAACGAAATCGCATATCAATCCAGTATGAGAGTTTTTCCGATTTTATGACCAGAAATCGGTGTTCGTGCCATCAGAAATGAACGAATAGGGATCATAGGAAATCAAACATTTCTGCAACGCTCAAGGGTTATAAAAAGCGGTGTCTTAACTGTTCCGATAATTGGAATTCACGGTTTTAAGCGAATTTTTACCGAAAATTCTTCTTATTATTATTACAATTTATTATTCACTTGTGGGCCGATTTTAGAAGAGAATTGAGATCGCTTTTGTTACACTAATCGCAAAAAAATAAATGTTACATTAAGCTAAGGAAGGCCAAATTCTCTCCAACAAAAGTGCCCCTCCCCCCTCCCAGGAAAGCCTTTAAAATGTGATCACCTTCTCTTCATCTCTCTCCGCTCCAAATAGTCCCTTTTTCGATTCTTATTGTTGCCTAACAACAGCTCAAAAAGCGCCCCAATTTACCCGTAAGTCCGTTTCTTGCATTTTTTTGTCCAGAAAAAATCCCTAAAGGAGTAGTTAAGTCCATTCAATCCTGTCTATAAAGTTCTTAATCTAGTATTTTTTGTTGACAAAAAATACTAGAAGTTACTATCGCTTTGACTGACGTCTTTGCGTGCGTAAGGCATTCGATTGAATCGCTTGAGTAAGAAGGCAGTAAATTGGCCCACTTGGAGTAATCAACAGAACTTACCTAAATGTCCATTAGGTAAGCGTTTGATCATTGAGGGCTGCTCAATTCCCGAGGGGCTTGTGACAGTTGCGGTGAGATTGTAAATATCGGCCTCGGAAATTCGAAGGGGAACTTCACTTGTCGTACCCACCATCACTTGTGTCATTCGCATTGGATCCTCTTTTTTGGACAAAAAGGAAGATTTTAAGGTGAATAAAACCTTGAAAAGTGATTGGAGTAAGTCCAAATCACCTAAATATCGCGCTACTTTCATGGAAATATAATCACAGAGCACTACCTTCATGGAAATTATTCGGCATTTAAGTGTTCCTACTCACTTTAATTCATCTCTTAGTCAGTTTAATACAACTATGGCAATAGCTTTCATAAAAAGATTGTGTGTTTGAAGACCATCATGACCTGATATCTGGCATTCACCAGCCGCTTTTACTTAGTTTCAATGGAAAACAAAGTTACTTACAGCAGCGTTTCATCCTTCAGAATAACAGAATTAATGACTGGTGTAAGATGGAATTTGGCGTTTGTTTAAATAAAGGTATTTTAATTCTCATTAAGGTAAAAATATTTGCAATCTTTCCCCTCACTACAATTAATAGAATTATAATTTCCATGAGGGGTGTGCGATAGACTTACCTCCACGTGTTACACCCTGGGCAACTTATACTCATACGGCAAAAAAAGTCTATTAACCGGCAGTTGACCTCTGACTTCAAACTACCATGGCCCGACTGCTTGTCATATTCGACCCCTTCCACAGTACTCATCTTACCTTTTTCTATACCTTTGTGTCTGTCTGCCTCTTTTACATCTGTAAATCGCTCTTCTGTTCCCCACCCCTCGACTTTCCTCTACTTTGATGAATCTTCCCTCTATGAAGCCCGAAGTCAGTTAAATGGCTAGTGATAGCTATCAAAACGCCTGCCATTTGAAATAAATATGATTTGCATGAAAATAGTAGCAAAGGTTGATGATTTCCCTAATTTCCCCTTTCCCAGTATTCCAGAGATTCAAGAGGAAAACTTTTCACACAACAAGTAGGATGTTCCTTTTCCAATTTTATGCCTCAACAATTTCACATTAAGTAGTAAATTCGAGGCCGGTGAAGGGCAGGTTTTTCCGTTACTGTAGAGATTGTTATTGCAAAAAGCATTAAATTATTTCATTCTCCACTGCATTGTTACGCAAATATTTACCTCTCCCTATCAAGAAATTGACAATCTAAATACCTATATTTGCAGGAATTTTTTCTCAATAAAAACTCACCCATAACAGTGGCAGTGAATGGTGAGCCTTGAATGTGTTGATCCATGAATTTGATGGTGATGGTATATTCTCCAGGAGCCAGAGGCAAGTAACTTGCTGAGCAAGTTCCATTCTTGTTGTCACGACAAACGATGTCAGCTTTGGAAGGTCCCTCCACAGCAATCGAGAGTCCACCTAATAGGTTGTTGTTCGAGCATTAAAAATTATTTCTACTTATTTTTTGTAAGTAACAAATGAATATCCACACACCTGCTCCTGCTTCTCTTGTTACCAGGGTGAATTCAGCCGGTTCACCAACACGTCCATGGCTTAGACCAGGCCCATATGCAGTGACTCGGCCAGAACCAACCGGTTCGACATAAAAGCGGAAGGGACTGCCTTCAATTGGTGTGCCGTTGAAAGTGATCTCAAGTTCATGAAGACCAGCTTCTGTTGGTTGGAATTGTGCTGTGACAGTTCCATCGCCATTGTCTAGCAAAGTTGGGCGAATTGTTCTTCCTCCTGGCGTTCGAACATAACCTTCCAGATTGCCAAACTTGGATCCAACTGGGAGTTTGAAGTCAATGGGATAGTAGCCAGTTGTCTTTGTTGACTCGTGGAACTGTGTCAAAGTGGTTGAATGCATTGTTTGAATAGGAACACGTTCAACGCGCTCATCTGAAACAGGTTGAATTAATTCCTCCATATTTACCGCCTAAAAAACCAGCAAATAGACCGGTTAAAAATTCATCAACACAAGTTATCCATTTCCATTTAAAGTTGACCCACCTTCTGGTTGAATCGACCACCAGTTATAACTTGGCCACCACAGAATATTTCAACCATATGGTCTCCAATCATCTGCGGAGTGTAGCAGACATTAACTTTGCCATTTGGGAGGTTCACAGTTTGAACTTCAGCTGGCTGACCTGTTGGAGCAATCACACGACCCATGACCTTAGCTGGACCAGCTTCAAGTGGATTAACGGTAATAGCACAAGGCTGGAAGATTGGGATTCGTGGATCATTTCCTCCTGAAGATCGATAAATGGCATAAATGGCATTGGGATGACTATTAAACACGTTTCTACTTCCTATATCCTTGAATACAATCTAATTGAAAGGAGATCGTGCACACCACATAGCCGATGATTGGTGAAAATTTGATTTAAATTTATCAACTGTTTGCACCATATTTGCCTTACATACCTTCGATACGGCAGAGATCGGGCCGACCTGTTGGGTGAACCTTGACACAGAATGGACTCTCCGGAATCTCCCGACCACCGAATTTGACGTCCACATAATGCAAACAGGCTTCTTCGGGAATGTACTGACAAGTGTAAACGCCGTCGCCATGATCAGCAACTTCCAATTGAAGTGGACGCTGTTCAGAATCCTAAAAAGTTCAAAGAAAACCTTCAAATAGCAAGTTTTGAATTGGGGGCACAAGTCTTCAACAACGAACTTGTGAAAGGAAACGCTGGATTGACAACTAAACTCACAATCGCCTACCGATTCCTAAAATCAGTCAAAAAATTGAACCGGGGTATTTTTGGTCAGGACACAAATAAGCAACACAACAATTAGTTGGACGACATAGAGTGCGTGAAATCAATAAGTGTTTCCTATACCCCGAAACCAAATTTTTTCAAAGAATCGGAGTGTCAGTTTCGAAAATTCCTTGATTGAACATTTAAACAAATCAAGAGTTTTAGGTAAGATGGAATGTGTGAGTATATAATGGAGCATATATATATAAGAACTAGTTTTTCTTTAAGTTCTGCTGTGATGGTGGTTGTGAGGTCTGTTGAACACTTTTTCGACGAATTTTACTTGATGAAGATTTCCTACGTGTTGTCGAAGGAGCTGCTGACGATGTCGGCGACTAAAGAGTAGTTAATTTAAAGAAAAACTCAAATATATTATAGAATGCAAGAGCATTAAAGATTGAGTAAAGGGCAGGGGTTGAAAGGGGACTTACAGTTACGGTGAGTTCAAGATCTCCTGATCCAGCTTCACGTGTATCCACTTGGAAGGTCGTCATCTGACCGGCGGGAAGACCTTCGGGTCGACTTGGATGGACACCCTCTCCTGTGACGCGGACTTTATGGGGCTCACAGGCGGGCAGAACATTCTGCATGAAGGGAGAGCGTGGCACCTGACAGTTGTCAAACTTGACTTCAATTGTGCAAGGACCATCATTCTCTGGAAGGTAGGTCACATCGTATACTCCGGGTTGACCTGGACGTGGGACAACTGAGTCTGGAACCTTACGACCAGTTCTGTCCGTATGAGTGACCTGAGGGGAAAGAAAAAACCATTTTTATCAACAATCTTTACAAATATTATTCTGGTTATTTATCTTTTTTAATCAAAACTTCTGGATAGGCTTAAAGCTCTCCAGAATACCACAAGACGACTGATCTTAGGATTACTCTCCCATAGAATCAAGATCTAGCCCAATGGATTTCTCTGGGAAATCCGGCGCTAATTTTGTACGAATAAGACCTCACCTATGAGCTGCCATGGGAAACCTCACTAGTTTTCTAATTCTAAAACGTCGTTTATGTGATAATCCAATACCATGATGAGCCTAAAAAGTAAACCTGCACAAGGGCGTAACTATGGCAACTTAACCGATTTGATCAATCTACCATGGACAACCAGTAATGTTAGTTCCCTCTTGTTAAAGCGCAAATACTCATTCCAGGGGAGGGGCATAACTCGATTGAAATTAGTGAAAAGAGCAGAAGAAGTCGGAAAAGTTGAAAAAAAATTGCAAAGTGAAGGGGACTGGACAAATGCATCATTCGACGTTTATGGTTCGATTCTTCAACCAGCTTCTACTACCTTAAGCTTTGACAGTCCTCTCAATATCTACCTCCTGCTGTTAAATCTCTCTTGATTGATCTCGTATTTTAGATCGATTGAATAGATTCAGGTATCTAAAGGCTCATCTTACAACAACAGGAGCTTCGCCAGCCTGACTTGCGTCGACAGTGAATGTAGCTGGAATTCCAGCACGTGCTCCATTAGGTTCCAAACCAGGCCCATAGCAACGAACTTTGTTGGGGTCGATTCTATCACGAATGGGGATATTGAATGGACTTCCAGGGATATCCATGTCATTGAGTTTGATAAACATGTCATAGTTGCCAGCCTTGGTTGGAAGATACTCCACAGAGCAAGTACCATCTTTATTGTCCACACAATTGATTTGGGCGTCGGCTGGACCTTCCAAGGCCAATCCAAGACCACCCTGGCCCGCACCGTCCAGATCAATAGTGAAGTGTTGAGGTTCGTGAGTATAGCCACCTTCCAAACCTGGTCCATAGGCGCGGACACGAGTTGGGTCACATCCAGGAGTCACGTGAACTTTGAATGGACTTCCAGGAACTGGCATTCCATCGTAAAATACCTCAACTTGGTGTAACCCTTCAAAGGTAAATACGGAATTTGGACAAATTTACCTACTTTGATTTGTTTATTTACCAAAATGAAAAATCATACCATCAACGAGTGGCGAATAGCTGCATTTGTAAGTGCCATCATTCTGGTTTTGAACGATGCAAGCGGTTCTCTGTTTCATTGGATCAACAACAATTGCTTTCACTACACCCCTTCCAGAAGGATCAATAAGTTTGGCGTCAACAGTGAATTTGGCGAAGGATTCCTTGAACACACCTAAAATGGAAACGCAACCATCGATGGATTAGGAAGAATTCAATGCAATTAATGGCATGATCATGCTGTTTATTTGACCCCATGCAGCTGTAAGGTGACCCCATGCTATATCATGCTGGAGTGGTTCACACTAAGAGCTGACTATACCCGTTGGTTGAAGTCCAGGTCCATAGGCTCGAACTTTGGAGACATCCACAAAGTCCCTTCCAGATGGTGTAACTTGAACTGGGAAGGGACTTCCAGGAATGTGCCTATCCTTATACAACACATTCACAGTGTAGGCTCCAGGCTCAACTGGAAGGTAGTCCACTCCACAAGTGCCATCACCATTATCTGTATAATTGATTTGAGCCTCAGCTGGACCTTCAATAGTCACTGAAAGTGGTGCTGGGGGAGCCTCTCTACTATCAATTGTAAAATGAGCAGGTACGTTGGCAGTGGCTTTGCGCAGACCATCTCCATAGGCATGAACAAGTCCTGAGGGGTCTTGTTGAGAAGCGAAAGCTGGAGGAGCTTTAGTGCTCGCAAGTGAGCTCTCTTGAACTGGAATTGCGGTGCAAGGGAAAGGTGACCCTTTGACTGGTGCACCCGCAACATCGACTGCAACTTGATGCGGACCAGGTTGAGTGGGTGTGAAGGTTGCCGAGTAACCCTCAGGGGTCTCTACAAGCTGGCTTGGAACTCGCATTCCATTAGGTGCTTTCACAATGACATTTGGACGTGGTTTTGGCGCACTTGGCGGGCCTGCTCCAGCTGTTTTAACATCAAACGTTGTCGGTTTTCCAACAGGAATTGCTACAAGCAGGTAGCATTCATTTAAACGACTTAATCTAAAAATTACTTTCCCCTTAAATTTTCACAAAGGAGTGTCTCCAGGATTTCTTAACTAGCTTGTCAAAACTTTTGAGGAGACTCAAATGACAATATAGCTATTTCTCTTCTCTTCGACCCCTTCCAATTTGCCCATGCAGCCAGATGCTTCTGACTTTCTCTCTTTCCAACTACTAAATTTCGTTAAGTAGTATCCTACTTAAGTTCATTATACCCCGCCTTTGGAGCATTGCATGTGGTGGTCCTCACGCATTCCAGACCTCAAGGTCCAACGAACTCAAAGCTGGAACAAAGGAGAAACAGTGGATAGTGTCACTCTCCGACATTGCCAACTGGCCAAGAATCGAAGCCGTTGCTGAGCTTAGACTACGTACCGGACACGATTGCTTGGCAAAACACCTTCACAGATTGGGAGTATACACTCAACCCACATACCCCCTATGTGACCTACAGGAGGAAATGGAGAAGACCCACCTGATTCGGTGACCAGCTCTAAAGACAACGACGGAAAGTCAGAGATACTGGGAAGCAAGAAGACAGCTAATGAATTGCTATTAATTAACTGCTATATATGTACCCCCACCCATGGGGAAAGCTGAAGTCACAGTTTAAGGGGTAATGGTAAATATCATAAATCCTGCCATTTGAAATAAGTATTTGGTCCAATGGAGGCGTTAAAATTGCTCCTCAATTATTAATTAATCTCAAGAATTTGGGCAACGCCTTTATTGTTCATCACAAACACTCCAATAGGCGGAGGAATATGATTTGATGAAATCTATTTGGATAGAGGAAATGATATCTTACATGTTTTTAATTCCAAACCTATGTTTCAAGTTATTGGCAGTAATCTGTAATAGCAAAAGTGAAGCACAAAGAGATGCATATAAAATGTCACTACCTGGAAAATAGAACTTGAAAGTCGCTACTTGACTCTCGTCATGGAAACCAAGAGTAATCGAACGAAGATTTTTCTAAATCACGTAATAGATAGGTACTTTACAGCTTTAGAAAAGCCACTTGTCCGTAAACTGACTTTAATCTAATGCTTAAAATGAAGAAATAGGCAAAAGCCGTTTTAGAGCTGTTTGATCAGAAAATCGGGAGACTTTCTATGTAATAAAATGTATACTAGATTAGACTTAATTGGGAACTATTGCTTAATTAATGTTATTTGATATTTAAATTTTCCAACGTTGCAATACTTGCGTAAAATTTTGAATTGTTAATTACTTACTTGACATTAACCCGTCGACACGAACTCGACTCATGTCAACGTTGGGTTTGACAGGAACCTTGAAGGGACTTCTTGGAACCTCGGTATTCTCAAAGAAGACTTGGACAGTGTACGTCGGACCGGCGGTGGTTGGTGTGTAGGATACGTTGAAGGTGCCATCACGCATGTCCTTGGTATCCATTGGAACATCTCTTCCAGCCTCATCTCGAACACTGATTCCAACATTTCCCGGTCCGGCTTGACGACAGTCCACAGTGAACTGGGTAGGCTCATTTCGAGTGATGGATTCAACACCCGGACCATAGACTCGGACATTTCCTGGGTTGCAAGGTTCAGCAACATCAACCTTGAAAACATAAGCAAATATTTAAGAATCCTGGAATTAAAAGCTTTATCGTGTATAACTATTATTTTATTATCTTAAAAGTTTTTCTAAGCATTACTCAAATAGACCTAAAAATCCCAAATAGAGTGAAATTGGCCCTTTTTACCACACCAAAGCAACTAAATACATAAGGGGGGGTGGGAAATACGACATCCGATCGGGTTATTAATCGAAGATGCGAAATCAATTCCGTAAGAAGCCATAAAGTACGCATGTGTGCCCATAGGCTTTCTGGAAAGCAGGAAGCGAAAAATAAACAAAAAATCGATACATGTATTCGATTGCATTTAAAATAACAGCGCGAATATGGAGAAGACAGCTGAATTATGATTTATCATCGCGATAATTGGTTAGGCTTGATGCTAATCAATAAAGTTCCATAATCAAGGGCCACAGAGAGCACGTGTTGTCCTGGGATGGGTGATACCCATACCAATAGGGGTCACCATGTCGACTTGCTTCTTTAAAAAAACCATTACGTGGTGTATTCTAACCATGAAATCTTGGCGATTAGTCAGAGCTAAGGTAAAAAATCAAAACAGATGCATGGCATTGATTCGATGTGGAATTCAACTTCAACTTTCCTTCGTATGCAAATAACTTAGCTTAGCCCTTCTCTAACCAAAAAAATTTATTAATTTCATCACTCTTTTGAACAAATATTCACCATTGTATAGATAGTAAACGTGATTATTTTTGATATCAAAAAAAGAAGCAATTTTTTACTCTGAATGGTGCACGAGGAACAGCGACTCCGTTGTAGGTTGGGATGACGGTGTGCTTTTTGGGTTTCTTTGCAGTGTACGTGACAGTTGCAGTGAGGTCTCCATTATCTCGGACTCGAACAGGCACCGGTTCGCCAGTGTCGTCTCTCAGCTCACAACCGAATGGCGCCAAGCCACCAGCCTCGCGAGCATCAATGGTGAATTCCGTTGGAATTCCAGCCACAACTCCTGGTGAGAGTCCCGGGCCATAGCACTTCACCTAGACATGAAAAAAGGCAAAGAAGTTGGAATGACATGATGTTATTTTCAATCACCAACTAACGCGTGATAAATTAGAGGAGCCAATCAAATGGGAAAATGCGTTTCTTCTAATAGTATAATTGGCCATTCTGTATTTTTTTAGTCTCAATTTCATATTCATTTCTCTCCAAACTTTTAATTAGCTACTGGTCAAGTCTTGGTAATGGACTCGATTTATAAATTTTGCATTTTTCATTTTGCTTAATTGACTGGCTGGTTAAAGTCGCTTTAAATTTTCATAAAACGACATCTCTCTTGATGCTAATAAAACTCTTTTCAAAATGCAATTATAATTTCACCACCTCAAAAGTTGATTTTGACTTTAGTTTCTTCTCATCAAGAAAGACATTATTATTGATTCAGTAAACTAATGCGAAGAATATTTAATTCTCATTGGTTAAAGGGGTAGAAAGATTATTGGCTATTTTCAATTATCTCTTTTATTTTGATAGGTCCATTTCGACAAAAAATTTGGTGCTTTTGGCCTCAAACACGGGGGCTATACTTTTGATAATTCCAGTTTGAATAAAATTTGGAATTAAGGGAGGGGGTGTTGCGTATTCTCGTTTCAGACTGCGAAGGGGGGTGGTGGGAATTGGGGATAGTAGCAACCGGAAGTGTCAATGAGTCATCCCCAAACCAGCGGGCGACCCCGTTACCCCATACGCCCACATCGCCATAGCTACATCTTCTTATCAGGCAGAGGCCGAAAATTGTTTCGCCTATCGCTGTTCCACGTTTAAAGGAATGCAGATACAACGATATGAGATAGGCGATAGATATATAAAAATCATTGCTTAAGGGGTTATGGCATATCTTAAGACGTGATTGGTGTTAAAAGTAAGATATAACGATTTAGAAACCTGTAGAGATGTAAAAATTATTGTAACAATAAACCTGAATTTAGTTTTATTTTTTTAGAAGTTATGACTGAGCAAGTGGTTCTTTGAAAAATCTAAGACGATTTACCTGATTTTTGTGCGCAGGTCTTACGATAGTCAAACGAAGAAAGGGTCAACTGAGGAGTGATCGGAAATTCCAAATGAAAAAAATCCATTTATCAGCCTTTTTAACCTTGACGTCCTTTTCTATTTAAATTATAATTTTTCGTCCTCTCCCCCCCCCCCCCCCCCCCCCCCCCCNCCCCCCCCCCCCCCCCCCCCCCACCTCCTCCCCCACCTCCACAAACCAACTTTTGACATGTTCGCCATTTTAGTAAGGTGCTTAATAAACTATAAATGGTGCACCTGCCGAAGGGTCAAATTTAGGTCAGTTTGGCCAAGATTCTGTCGCACATGCGTTTCTAGTCCCACAGTAAATGTCGAATGATTCACCATTGCAGAAGGGAGTTATTTCCTCACTGTCCGGAGAGAAAAAATCATCCGTTTGCCTTGGACCCAGTGGTCGCCAGGATAAGACGTTCTTATTGGTCGATAGATAATTCCCAGGACGCATAATTTCCATGCTTCCAATGAATGTCTTCTCTATTCTGCAAAATTATTGATTTCAAGTAATTGCAGTTAAAGGTCCCCCCCTACAACACAGCGTCTAAAGTACACTGGTATATTGATTATTAATATTCACTAAACTCTATCTTGCGGTGACTCATCTTGTCATCGTGGATTCAACACCCCTTCTGATTAGATGTCCTTTATATCTGCAAGTAGGGTGTGCGATAGACCTACCTCCACGTGGTGCAGTCTGGACAACGTATAATCTTACTACAAAAAAGTATATTTACCGGCAGTTGACTTCTGACTTCTAATTACATTGACCCCACTGCATGGAATATTCCACCACTTTCACAGTACTCACCTCACCTTTTTTT